GGCATGCTCCTAATGAGACGGTGGATGATGTCCTGGGGTATTTTCTCCCAGATCTGGACCAGGGCATCACTGAGCTCCTGGACAGTCTGAGGTGCAACCTGGTGGCATCGGATGGACCGAAACATGATATTCCAGAGGTGTTCTATTGGATTTAGGTCAGGCGAGTGTGGGGGCCATTCAATGGTATCAATTCCTTCATCCTTCAGGAACTGCCTGCATACCCTTGCCACATGAGGCCGGGCATTGTTGTGTACCAGGAGGAACCCAGGATCCACTGCATCAGCGTAGGGTCTGACAATGGGTCCAAGGATTTCATCCCAACACCTAATAGCAGTCAGGGTGCCATTGTCTAGCCTGTAGAGGTCTATGCGTCCCTCCATGGATATGCCTCCCAGACTATCACTGACCCACCACCAAAACGGTCATGCTGAACGATGTTACAGGCAGCATAACGTTCTTGGCTTCTCCAGAAGCTTTCATGTCTGTCACATGTGCTCAGGGTGAACCTGCTCTCATCTGGCACAGGGTGTCAGTGGCAAACCTGCCAATTCTGGTGTTCAATGGCAAAAGCCAATCGAGCTCTATGGTGCGGGGCAGTGAACACAAGGACCATTAGAGGACATTGGGTCCACAGGCCACCCTCATGAAGACTGTTTCTGATTGTTTGGTCAGAGACATTCACACCAGTGGCCTGCTGGAGGTAATTTTGTAGGGCTCTGGGAGTGCTCATCCTGTTCCTCCTTGCCCATAGGAGCAGACACTGGTCCTGCTGATGGGTTAAGGACCTTCTACGGCCCTGTCCAGCTCTCCTAGAGTAACTGCCTGTCTCCTGGAATCTCCTCCATGCTCTTCAGACTGTGCTGGGAGACACAGCAAACCTTCTGGCATTAGCACGTATTGATGTGCCATCCTGGAGGAGCTGGACTGCCTGTACAACCCCTGAGGGCCCAGGTATCGCCTCATGCTACCAGTAGTGACACTGCCTCTAGCCAAATGCAAAACTAGTGGAAAACAGTCAGCAAAGATGAGTAGGGGAAAAAATGTCAGTGGCCTCAACCTGTAAAACCATTCTTGTTTTGGGGGTCATCTCATTGTTGCCATCTAGTGCACCTGTTCTTAATTAAATTAACACTAAAGCAGCTGAAACTGATTTACAACCCCCTCTGCTACTTAACTGACCAGATCATTATCCCAGGAGTTTAATTGACTTGATGCTATACTCTGATTAAAAAGTGTTCGTTTAATTTTTTTTGAACAGTGTATAAGCTGATGGGAAGGGAGGAAATAAAGAAAGGCTGGTGCTTTGCCCTGCATGAGTAAACCCAAAATTCACTATGGGAATTAATACTCAGATTCTTACATAAGTTCAATCATGATCTCTTCTCTTGCAGGATTTTTACTGTCGATTGTTTATGCTGAAAAATTCCTAATAGTAGTCTGCAAATGTTTAATGTAATCACTAAGGTAGCTGGACTTTGCTCTGAACCACAAGCTCCATCTAAAATTATTTTGTTAAGTTGCAATAGTATTTAAACTACAGATATTGGCAGTATGAGATGATAGTGACATCTACTGACATCTTTAAACCTCAGAAGACACCTTGGATTAAAGTCTGTCAGTAAGGTTGGGCATTCTTGGGTTGGGATAGCACTATCTCCATGTATGTGTATTGAGTAAATAGACATACATGCTCTGCAATATGAATGTGTGAGTCTGTGATATAATTTGTTCTAAATTATTGAGAAATTGTTTGATGAAATGACGATATACTGTGTGCCCATCTGGCTCAAGTCCACTGTCTGTGACCACTTTTATCTTACCATGTTCACTAGAATTAGGTTGACTGTAAATGGGCAGATATCTCTTCAAGGGCAACTGGCATAGAGATATATTCCTGCCAGACCTCACCTGATGTTAATATTGGCACACATGTGATAATTTGGATGCTTCATTCTCATTAAAGAGAACCTGCACAGTTAGTGCTAGTCTTACAAGATTTGGTGTAAGATTTAGTGATGTCACTACTGTGGTGATCACTGTTCTCCTTGCTGGAGAGAAAGCTGCACCTGAGGATCTGTCATTCAAGGATCTCACTGCTTCTGTTTCATCCATTCTGTAGAACTGTGCTTCCTGCACCTCTGCTTCTGCTTCTTGAGTATCACCCCAGTAATATTAAAAAAAGGTGAGCAGAAGACAAAGGACTGCTGACTGTCTTTTCCCATTACTAATTTACCATGCCATATTATGAACTGTGTCCCTGTGTGTAGACTACTGGGTAGATGCACATAGTTTTGCTTCCTGGTGTCACAGTTCTCCCCATAAAGTTTGATAATCTGATATTATTGAGGAAATAATCAAAAAGCAGAAGCAGAGGTGCAAAAAGCACTGATCTACAGAATGGACAAAGCAGAAGCAGGGAGATTCTTGAATGGCAGATCCTCAGGTACAGCGTTCTCTCCAGCAAGGAGAAAAGTGAGCACTACAGTAGTGACATCGCTACATCTCACTTCAAATCTTGCAAGATTAGCACAGACACAGTGCCTTAGATGATATCACTCTGCAAATATAGAGCTACAGTACAGAACAGGAGTGTCTAAGCATGGTTACATGCAACTGCTACTTTTTCAGGAACAGTTCAAGACAAAGGACAAATCTTTTTGGGTCTTGGGTACACTTAATACGTCTAGATATTCCCTATATGATAGCAGACCTTAATTTTTTTTTAGTTCAGATCCCTTTTGTAGAATAGTGAAGGCTCAGGGGTAGCTTACAGGGAGATTTTCCATCACATATTCCTCTGAATGCTCCTCCTGAATATTCAAGGCACTTGTTACCTTTCTCTGACAATACAGAAATAGTCCACTAATTGTAAGCAATACTTATAATCAGGAGCATCACTTTTATCAGGTCTTTATCTAAGGTCAGTAAAAACTTTATATGATTTGGATACAATAAAGCAGTGTTAATCAATCTTTTTTCTGTCAATGCACCCTTTAAAATTTTAGACAATCCCAAGGCACCCCATTCTAAAATGTAAAAAAACAAAACTAATAGTTTTACATAACACAGCAACCTTCACACATGTAGGGCACCCAACATTAAAGTTGATTTATTATTTTAAAGCAAATACCCTTGCACACTGGTACTGACTTATATTCCAGTGTTTCCCTTCTCCCTCAGTTTCTCTCCATCACTCTGCTAATGTGACCCCAGTGCCGAAGGAGAGGGGCAAAATAGGATGCTGTGCAGGCGCCCGATATCCTCCTTATTAACCAATTATGTCATTGGTGCTTAGAACTCTGGCAGCTAGAACGTTGTAATGGTGCATAATAAAAACGTGTGGCTTTTTGTAACTAAGAGGCACTTGATGGCTCGTATACAGTGTTAAGCAATTTTTAAGCATATTGCCAAGGCACCCCTGAAGATACCTGAAGGCACCCCAGGGTGCCTGGGCATGGTTACAGCCATCACCATTGTTATTTTCTACCTTTTCACATCTTTTGCCTTAAATAAAGCTTGGTATTTTCTCCAGATTGAAGACTTCCCATGAAAAATGTCAATAGTCGGCTATGTAACTTTAAGTTAGCATTTGTCTCCCTCTTATGGTAAAATTGTAGAATCACACAATGGGCTGATTTATTAAAGCTGGCAGGTACAAAATCTGGTGCAGTTGTACATGGTAGCCAATCATCTTTTAACTTAAGCTTGTTTAGTTATGGCCAATTCACACTATATGTGGTGACAGATATTTTACTGCATGGCAAAACGTCTGTCACCTCAGGGATACACAGGAAACAATTGTTTCCTATGTGCCCCATTCACACTGCAATGCAGCCTAACGATGCGGTGTGCTGTGATAAAATGCAGACATGAACTGTTGAGAATAATCAATTAATAAAATAAAAAAATATTATATTATTACGCCAGGAGCACAAGCTGTGGATTGGCTGTCGCTCTGGATGACTGGACGCTGGCTTTCATTTCTGCGCATGCACACCTTACAAAGGAACTCTTACTTGCATGATAAAAGTCACCATCACCCCAGATGGATCAAAACTGTTCCTCTGGGACAATTCTGCAGGCTAAGGAGGACTTGTACTTTAGTGGAAGATTATGATACCCAAAGCGAAATCTTGAAAAAGAAGCTTTTGGAACAAGGGTATGCAGCCACTAACATTGAAGAAGCATACAATAAATACAGAAGAAATATTTCAGCAGGGCAGCCTCTGAGATGGATTCTTTGATTGGATCAAAGACTAGTACTTATAGAAACCACATCAATCAACACAGTGCAGCGTTCTGCACCAGGTAGAACCAGAAAGCCTTCAACATAAAAAAAACCTTAATAAAGTTAAAGTGATACTAAACCCACAACAGTAAAATCAGTCTGTATATGCAGGAAAGCATACTTGTTATACTCACTGTGGAACCAGAGGGGTTAATCCTCTGCATTGTGTAAGAAGGCCGTTTGATCCTGTCTTCTCTGCTCCTCCTCTTGTTCAAATGTCCACGTCTTATCTCCTGATAAGACAGACTGAACCGTAGCCATTGTGCACATGCTCAGTTTAGTGTGCGTTGCTAGAGATATTTTTTTTTCTTAGGAGACAGCATGTGATCAGCACAGGGCAATCAGCACTGTCCAAAGAGATAGACTGATAGAAGTCACTAGACTGCTCTAACTGCTGATGCAAAAAGGTATTTAGCAGTTTATATTTACTAAAATAATTGCATTTCCATGTTGTGTGTGTACTGTGGGAGACCAGATAGAGTGAATGCAGGGCCCTGGGTTTAGTAACACTTTAACCACCTCCCGCCCACCATATAGCCCACAAGGTGGTTCTCTCGTTCTGATAGGCCGTCTTTTGACGGCCTTCCATTCTCACAGTGCATGCAAGACTCAGGTAGCGCACAGCGTGGCAATCGGCGGTGCTCTGTGTCCCTCGGACACAGCGGATCACCGATCCATGGAAAGAGCCGAAGATGTCGGCTCGGTCATGTGATCAGCTGTGTCCAATCACAGCTGATCACATGTAAACACGGAATGCCGGTTATCGACATTTCTCTCCTCTCGAGCTGTCACGCTGACAGCTCGAGAGGAGAGGAGAGCCGGTAATCTGCATTCCGCGGAGGGGACATGTACACTGATCATCAGGGCACTGATGATCAGTGTGCCCTGATGATCAGTGTGGCCCCAGAAGTGCCACCTGTCAGTATCCATCAGTACCAGCTGTCAGTGCTGAACAGTGCCACGTGCCAGTGCCCATCAGTGCCACATCAATGCCATATATCAGTGCCTACCAGTGCACATCAATGCCACATATCAGTGCCCATCTGAGCTGCCCTTCAGTGTCACCCATCAGTGCCAGTCAGTGCCACCTATCAATGCCAATCAGTGCCACCTATCAGTGCTGCCAATCAGTGCCGCCTATCAGTGCCGCCTAACAGTGCCAGTCAGTGCCACCTATCAGTGCCTGTTAGTGCCGCCTATCAGTGCCATATATCAGTGCTGCCTTTCAGTGCCCATCAGTGATGCCTGTCAATGCCCATCAGTGCCACCTACCAGTGCCTCCTCATCAATGCCCATCAGTGCATCTTATCAGTGCCCATCACTGCAGCCTCATTAGCGCACATCAGTGACGGAGAAAAATCACTTATTTACAAAATTTTATAACAAAAACTAAGAAAAAACATTTTTTTTTTTTCAAAAATTTTCAGTGGGTTTTGGTTTTTTTAAGAAAAAATAAAAAACCCAGAGGTCATTAAATACCAGCACAATAAAGCTCTATCTGTCACAAAAAAATGATAAAAATTTCATAGGGGTACAGTGCTGCATGACAGCGCAATTGTCATTCAAAGTGTGACAGCGCTGAGAGCTGGAAATTGGCCTGGGCAGGAAGGGGGTATAAGTTATATGTAAAGTATACTAAAGCAAAACTTTTTTTTTTTTAGTTTTGAATAGAGTGGAGAGGGATTAAAACCCCTGTCAGTTTTTTACTGCTGTCTATGTCCCTGTTAGGGAGATTCACCCCCCCATCACCACCACCCTATTTGTCCTGTTTATCATTGTCATTGAAAGCGAAAGTAAAAAAAAAACACATTTTTGTGTTTCCAATGCGGCACTGGTCCTGGTTAGCTGGGGGTCTCTATGGAATTCTGTTAATTTGCAAGAATTTCCTCTCACTTCCTGTTTAGCTATGAGAAATGGGACACAGATGGCAAAAAAAAAAAAAAATCTGACAAGGGTTATAACCCTCCCTTACTCTATCCAAAATGGAAAAAAGAGTTTTGCCCATAGTTCTACTTTAAGCATTTATCTAGAGTTTATCCCCCACAGCTTTTCTTCCCGTACCACTATCCCCTCCCTCCTAGATTGTAAGCTCCAAGGAGCAGGGCCCTCGAACCCCTCATGTATCACATTGTATTGTTATTGTACTGTCTCATGTATTGTCTCCCATTGTAATGTACAGCGCTGAGCGAACTGTTGGCGCTTTATAAATACTGTATAATAATAATAATAGAGTCTCCAAACTTGTTATATACTCCTGGAATAAAAAAAAACTAATACCATGTTATAATTTATCGTATTAAGGTTTGAACAAACTACACAGACATAGATTTAGCTGGTTTTCTAACATTCTAAAAATGTCTCTCCCTTACATTTTCATCTTGTTTTCGTTCATTGACGAAAATTGGAATTGAGTTTCGTCATAGTTCTCGTCAGTTGATGAAAATTTTCTTTTAGTTTTCATCACTGGAAACATGCCACTTAGGAAAATTATGATGACAATATTTTAGTTGACGAAATATAACTGGCAGCTGGTTGGGTACAGGGTGAAGAAGCAGAAAAGTAAGTTCTATGTTTGTGCATTGATATGTAATGATGTAGAGAGATCCTAAGCCAATTCAGCCTTGTCTGTTTTGATGCAACAAAACTCTTGCATTTTGCTGAATGAACATGCATGTCCAGAAAAAAGTCTTTCCTATGTGTCTGGTTCACCTCTATGTGCTGCAGTAATTGTGAAAGACAAAGGCAAATTCTATTGGCCCACTCACGCCTACACATGAATGTTACCATATGTAGTGCATGCACATAGAACATTGTATATCCAGCCTATGAATTACATGTAACACAAAGATAAAAAAAATGATAAACATGTGTGTGGACATGCCCACTTGTCTCATTTTTTGCTAGACTTAAGCAACAGGGTGCATATTAAAAAGCGTAGGCAAATATGTGTGTTTTGGCTTTAGCAATTGAGTTCATAGTGCACAGTCAGAACAAACATTTATTTTAGTTGTTTACTATTTGCCCTGTTGCTTTGGGTCATTTTATATTTCATATGACTTTTAACCACTTTCCCTCCTGAGGATTTACCCCCCCCCCCTCCTGACCGGCCATTTTTTGCTATACAGCGCTGCGTTACTTTAATGACAATTGTGCGGTCATGCAATGCTGCACCCAAATGAAGTTTATGTCCTTTTTTCCCACAAATAGAGCTTTCTTTCAGTGGTATTTGATCACCTATGCGTTTTTAATTTTTTGTGCTATAAACAAAAAAAGACTGACAATTGTGTGAGAAAAAACAATAGTTTGGATATTTTGCTATTAAACATGTCCAAAATCATGAATTTAGTCCAAAATGTATTCTGCTACAGGTCTTTGCTAAAAAAAAAATCCTAATACGTGTAAATTAATTAGCTTACATAAATTATAGCATCTACAAATGGCGGTATATATACTGTATTTTTAGGACTAGTAATGGCGGCAATCAGCGACTTATAGCAGGACTGCAGCGAATATTCTGACACTGGGGGGAACTGACTGTCACTGACATCCCCAGTGACTCCAATACAGTGATCAGTGCTAATAAAAAGCACTGACACTGTACTGATGACACTGGGCAGAAAAGGGTTAACATCTGGGGTGATCAAAGGGTTCACTGTGTGCTGTGTGTGTTTTACTGTGTGCTGGCTTTACTAGAAAGGAGCTGAGAAGGGAGAGATCTTTATTGTTTACATTCAGACCTCTCCCCCGTCAGTGATATTTGGCGATCATCGGGTGTTGGCGGGGAATCTCTGGCCAGGACCCGGTGATCGACAGCTGTAGACGCCAATGGCGGCACGGGTAGTGCACGCGCACCCTACCCGGAAATATAATATCATGTATATATACATCATTTTGCGCAGCCCTGCTGCCCTGTAGCAGTATTTCTGCTATAGGGCAGTTGGGAAGTGGTTAAAGAGTTTATTCATGCTGTAACAATTAACACACCATATCTTGTAAAAGTGTATCTATGGTCAAAATGTAAAATCATACATTCATTTTTTATTCATTGTATTTTATTATGTCTAGTCTACTCCTATTAATTTGAAGGAAATGTGAACTTGCTCTGTGAAGATCCCCACACATTTACTTCCTTGAATTCCATGACAGATATTCGCTATGTCCTGTGAGTAGGCACTGCTGTGTCACACATTTCACAGAGCCTGCCTTCTGAACTACAAAGGTGCTGAAAGGAGAGGTTTCAGGAGGTGGAGTCAGTACAGGTACAGGAATCACTGGTTGTAGGCAGCAATATACCATGGGATATATACTAGAATTTTTTTTTTCTAGTACTAGTAATGGCGGTGATCAGCGACTTATAGCGGGACTGCAGCGGGCATTCCGACACTGGGGGGGAACTGACTGTCACTGACATCCCCAGTGACTCCAATACAGTGATCGGTGCTAGTAAAATGTCCTTAGAAAAGTAAAACAGCAGAAGAGAAGCTGCAAAGCATGCAGGGAATCCAGGAAGTTGTGGAAATTGATGGGCAGCAAAAAGGCAGAAACTCACAATAGGAAAGAAGGTTTTTATACTGGATTGTCAAAAATAAATTTGGTTAGTATTACTATTACAGTGCTGATGTTATAAAATGAAAGTGTTTGTTGTGACCATAGATTTCCATTAACTTTGACAACATTGGTAAACTGTTCAAATGTAATGACTTAAAGCAACAGGGTGCATAGTGAAAAGTGAGGATCTATGTGTCCCCACTGAAGCCCTATTTGAGTTCGAAGCACATAGGTATCATTTATCCATGCTGAACATGTTTACAGGACATATAAACAGTTTACATGTGATACCAAATCTAAAATGAGTTAAAGCAAAAGACTATGAAGTACAATGGTGACACACATTTTTCCTGCTCTGTACTTTGCACTATGTCACTTCATTTTAAATTTCTTATCACATGTGCAGGCTTACATGTCATAACAAATCTAAAATGCATTGTCATATAATGCCCAGCGCGTAGCAGGAACACATGTATCACATATCCTCACTGTGCACTTTGGTACCAGACACACATTATGCTTGCCAGAGTGCAGTTGTTGACATGTGATAGATTAGAAATTAAATGTTGTAAAAAGAACACAGTAAAAAAAAACATAACATTTTAACCACTTGCTGACTGCCAACAGTACATTTACTGCTGGCAGACGGCTTCCCACTGTGTCATACCATTATGTTTCAGTGCTCATGTGCACTGTGTGGGCCCCCCTGGGGCACACAACAGCATGATGCAACCACTGTGTCCACTGGACACAGAGGATTGTGGTGCTCGATATCGGGCCACTGTAAATGTAGTAAACAGTAGTCATGAATGGAATCCATTCATGACATCATTGTTTATACTGTGTGTGATCTGTAATTGGTCACCAGTGATCATATGGTACCTGGGTCAATCATAGCACTCTGTATTGTGATAGCTGTGGGCCAATCACAGCATCACAATATTCATGAATGAAAGCCAGCTGAAATGATTTCTGTTACAGTGATCATTATTGTAACAAGCAATCACAGTGTAAAAAAAAGTCCCTGATTACCCTCCCAGAGTAGAACTCTGAACCAAACTATTCTGTTGACTGTATGCAGAAAACAATTGTGAAAAAAACAAATTTTATTTAATTTCTTCACTTTCCAAATAATAGTTACAAAATATTTGAACTTCAACTCGCAATGCATCTTACTAAATATCTTGGACTGTCTACTTTCCAAAAAGTGGTCATTTGGGGGGGTATTTGTGCTTTCCTGACATTTTAGGGCCTCAAGAAATGAAATCAGTACATCGGGATTGATCGATTTTAAAATATATACACCATAGTTTGTAGACTCTATAACTTTCACACAGACTACATAATATACACTGATTTGGGTTATTTTTACCAATGAAATATAGCAGACTAGATGTTAACCTAAATTTATGAGGCCTAAATTTATGAAGAAAGATTATTTTGTTTGCAAAATGTTGTAACAGAAACTAAGAAAAAAAATTTTTTTTCAGAATTTTCAGGGTTTTTTTTAAATAACAAAAAGTAAAAATCCCAGTGGTGATTAAATACCATCAAAAGAAAGCTCTAGTTGTGTGAACAAGCTGGAAGGGGGTAAAA